TTACAGTATGCGGGGCCAAAGGATTTATAAAGATTTGAAATGCCACAAATTGATTCAGTGTAAAAATTAATACAAATGTCAGTTCCCAGTTTAAATAAGTTTCAAGGTGACAATGTGTCAATGCTGCGAAATCGGTTTAATGCGTTTACATGTCGATAAGTGATTGGAGCGTTTGCAAAACATTTTATTTCGCATAATGCGTCTAAATTTATCAGAAAGCAACTTATGTGATATTTTAATAACAATGTTTATATGACTATTAACCATAATAAGAGAGTAATGACCATTTTACAATTTATATGTCACATTAATATGAAACTGCAATAGAGCAATTGTTTGTGATAGAAACCTAGGCATTAGGTCGGGGAATTTTTATCGTGATGACGTGCACGCCACTTTGTTTGGCGTTGACTATATAAGTCGTTCCGTAAATGTTCGTAACCAGTTACGTAAATGTAAAATCTTAACTTATACTCCAGTTGTCTCTCTGATCTATCTGTCTTACACTGGACAATAAATGAAACGTCAGATGGTGAATACACTGATTTCCGGGCGTTTTGACTGCTTCAGCAAATTAAAATTTTTTACTCCTCTATCTTAAAGGGCACGTCAGTCCAGAGGCGGCAGCGCCTTATGCAAAAAACGAAAAAAAAACATAACAATCGCTAAAGCTCCGTTTTTTGACGTTTCAGGGGTTCCTAAACATTTTCACAAAGAAACTGTAGTGCTTAAAAAGTGGGGGTTAGGGGAAGGTGATTCTGAATGTGGCATCTTAGATATCAGTGAAACACGTTCTCTTATTAGGAAGCTTTTGATCCCAGTGATTACTCACCCACGATTTGAAAAAATCGATACCAGCGTTATAGGTTTGACACCGAAAGTCAACAGATCTGCAACTGCCGACAGTAGGGAAGAATAAATTTGGATATTTATAATGGGGATTATTAGGGTCTTGGGAACAGGTATTGCTTCAGCGAAGTATAGTCGAATTTTAACTTAATTTCGCTAAAATCACTATATATCTAACGGGTTTTCCAAATTCGGCCTTCACCATAGGTATCTCGGAAACTGTAAGCAATACAATACAAAGTCGTTTATATAAGAAACTGGTACTTAGACAGTTTGCCAATTTAGATTATTTTCGAAGGCGGACAAACTGTGTTTGCTTTTAGTCGTTTTCATGTTTTCCTGGCCTAACTTAAGGTAGGATTTCAATATAAAGAGCATCAACAGAGAAACTTTTAACAAGCAATTTGATCTGTTAGTATATATGTGTGGAACAAATCTTGAAACTGATTTCTGAACCTGTTAACCTTAACCAACCGAGCTGATATTTATAATGGGTATTATTAGGGTCTTGGGTAAAGGTATCACTTCATCAAATTATAGGGAAATTTAGCGTGGATTTTTTAAAATCATCGATATGTTTAAGAAATATGTTTTTGAAAATCATAATTTGGCGATTAACTACATTTTCACCTGAATTTCGTGACCCACGAATGTATCCAGTATGTAATGTTAATATAAGCAGTTACATCCATATTTACGTAGATAAGAACGTCATTCTCACTGACGCGATAACGAGAAGGGAATATACGAGTAGATTGACTCGGTACGGAGGCTGCGATGTAGTGATGTGGGGTTCAAAAATACAAATTTAATGACCGAACTGTTAAAAAATTCGCTTACGTCAAGTGCACTTGTAGTATGAACTACGTACTATGAGAATTAGGAGACAAACAAGTCTTTGACTGACTGACCTTCTTCCTCATGTGAATTCGTTGAGGTTAAGCTGCTTCACAACTGACGCTCCAGTGTCCAGTATTTTCGAATGAGGTTCTTGCATTGTCTTCAGAAGATAATTTCATAGGGTGCTATCAGAGCACTCTTCAAAATTTTATTTTTGCGCAAAAATTATGATGAAATGCTTACTATTTATGTTCAACTTCTTAATTGTTTTAAAAGATCCTAGTGGATAGAATAGAAAAAGTGGACCGTTAGCACCCTGTACCATGGAGTATCAGTGAGAAATTCAAAACGCTATAGTATGTTAAATGTAACATAAGATGGAACGTACCATTAAAAAATTGTCAACATTCGTCTTTATTAGTCTGAATGTCCAATAGTTTATTGCACATTCATATACATTTCCAAAATACGAAGACTGACATAACATACTATAAATTTTTGATATTAATTTGTTGTCGAGTTGTAAGCGATTCAGGTTAATCCGCCATTTTGAGAAATAGTGAAGTTATGTTTGGGGCTTTAAAACAGTGATAAGGGGCTTCACAGTGAGGCATTATGTGATCATTCTACCTAAAAAAGTTCCAATTTAGCAGTTCCAGCAGTCATTTTGAAATTTTCAACTGTTTTAACGTTTATGTTTTACCTTCACCACCTCAACATCCAGTTTGCTGACGTAAGCCCTTCAAAGAATAGATAAGAGGGGAATTTTTTGAGAAGCACTGAATGAGGGAAGTATAAAACACATAAGATGCTGTACTTTGAAAAGAGATATGTTACAAATTCGAAATACAAACAAAATAAACTTACTTGATGTAAGCTACTGTTGGCGTTTCTGTAAATAATGACGATGTTACGGCATATGTTTGTGAAAGGGCCACTTCTTCTTCCTACAATAATGCTTCATAAATAACTAAAGAATATAGTCTAGCCCTTGCAAACCAACCTTAAGTCGAATATTCATGATGTCTGCGTGTGTTTGAAAATGCGTCTCAGTAACCTTGGTATTAGTTTGAGACTAAAATAATACCATATACGAGTAGTCATATAAAATGAAATTATAATTGTATCTATGAATTATAATATTTCTTTTGCTCAAATAAAAGCTAAAAATAATATAAATTATTTTATTTCGGAACTTACATTTCGACTCCCTACAAAAGTCTTTTCTTCCCGGCGAGCAACCTTGATAAAAAGGTACCCAAGAACAATCACACCAACAATACAATATTGAGAAATTGTAGTAACAAGGGTAGCAAAATACTAAAAGATCACTTGATAAGTACCAAAATAGGGAACGATTTACATACTAGACCGCCAATCTAAATCCGACTCTATTATTATGTAAATTTACCCCGTTACGCGCCTGCAGTCATCCTTTCCTTTTTTTAAAGTAGCGCCGACGACCGTCTAAGACCAGCCCACCAACATTCCCTTTTCATCCCCCCGTTACCTCAGGAGATGGTCCTCGTGATTGTGGGAGCCGCGTTAATACATTTTGATAATCAGGGATGAACTAGCCCTATTACAATATTGGCAGCATTTCTTCACAACCTCACAACCTGCTTAATGAGTGCACAAAGGGGATATTTTGATCTTTTATCTGAGAAATGATTCTTGTTTGGTTTTGGTAGAATGAGCATTTTTTGAGAAGACCTATCATATAATGGCCATTTTTGAGAAAAGATGTGTTGTTTCAGTATCATTTTATCTTTTGTAACACTCATTTCGATATATGTATAATGGTTCCACTATTTTGAAAATATACAATTTTTAATAACAGACTTGTAATCAGCGACCAAGTGAGCTTTTGTCCATCTTTTTCGGCAACTGATTGAAGTCGTATTAACAGAAATAGTATTGAAACACGATTGCTTTTCTCAAAGCCCATCGATTTTACTGAACTCTAAGAAGTATACATAAATTTTACTTCCGAGCCATTATTAATACAAATTGTAAAAATTGGGCAACACTGCATTAATTATTTAATTGGTAACTATAATTTAAGAATTTCACTGGATTATTCGATATTGTTCATAAGTCATATGAGACCAGCCGACTTCTGGTGGCGTCCTTCGAAGGCTATATCCTAAGCGAAGTGGTATTTTGTAGATTTTCAAAGGACAAAATAGTCTTGGAATAGTCCAAAGAATTATTATTATTGTATGTTTTCCGTATGTTCTAGAAATACCCTATAAAATAGAGAAACATCATTGCTGTCTTCGGAGGAATCATATTTTTGAACGATTTGACGATCTACTCCCCGTAGACTACGCCAATGGAACCTTTGCGGCACTATGTTGGACAACCGTGGTACCCGCTGTCGCCAGTCACTTGTTAGGCAAAAGAAGTGTTGAATGTAACTTATCTTCACAGCAACCGCGCTACCGTCAGTCGTAAAAAAATGGCGCCAAATAGGTTGACTCTGGACTTCTACGCAATGCTGTCATCGGTTCAAAATGGATTATGTTTAGCACAAGTTAGCTCCTCTGAGAATTAAGTTAGCCACGAATATGTTTAACATAGAATTAATACTGTCAAAGAGGCCCAGGGCCCAGAGAATTAGTCCATAGTCCACTCACACCTGACAACGTCGTCATCAAGAAATTTTTTCCTGCTCTAGCGACAGTATCTATCATCTGGCACTCGCTCACCCAGCACGGCGTTGCTCGTTGTACACACCCACGCGTGTTTTGAAAATATTTCCCTATCCAAGTTTTAAGGGTAAATGTAGCGCGAAATCTATAAAATATGTCTAATAGGTGACTAGAATTACTGGCGGTAGAATAATAACTGAAAAAATAATATATACCCTCCCCCACCAACCTCCAACCCCCAATTTCAACCCCTACAAAACTGTTTTTCTGAAAATAATCAGAAGCCCCCAAAACGATTTTTGTTTTTTTCGTATCTTGCCCCTAGCTCTGCCGCTGCTAAACAGATTTTCAAAACCTACAGAACCTTTTTCGTTCTTGGCGTAGCCTGGTGTGGAATATTTATCAAAATCCGAGATGTACTTTTCAAGTAATAGACAGGTCAAGGCTTGGCGGAAGAACAGGCAGACCGACAGACAAAGAGATAGACCGACAGAAAGTAGTCACATGGTTAGTGATATACGAGTAGATGTCATATAACATCCAAAAACAATATCTTATTTTTAAAATTTTTCTTTTACGTGTACTAAGGATGCTGGTTGGCGATAAAAAGGTGCGATCTTATCACCCTTTTCCATACATGTTTGTCCCTGCAGGATAATGTCTTTGTCCGTACTACCACTACGCCAATGGTACCGTTGCGGCACTACGTTGAATCACCTTGGTACCTATTGTCCTGAATCACTTGCCGAACCCCAGGCAACGAGTCAACAGGCGAGCGGTATCCAACCATCGGCAATCCGCATACTGCATTCAGTCGTCACCGGTATCGGACGTAGAAAGCGCTCAGCTGTTACTCTTCTGTACGCTTTTGTGAAACCCGACGCCATTGTTCGATCTCTGTTTGGTTGTTCTGATAAACAATCCAAGAAACGTAGCTTGTTTGTGATAACTCTACACACAGTTAACTACGTTTCGCATGTAAGCAGACGCGAGTTCCGTTTGACTTTATCTACCTGTACGCTGTGTAGAGTGTGATGCAGGCTCAGAGGCGGATTCGGCTCTAAACGCGGTTTTCGGAACACAGTCTTCGGTTACTGTTTAGTTGTGTTTTATGGTTGTTTCATTGGATTGCTACAGCCGATGCTGAGGGAAACGTGAGTACTTGTAACTTTGTATTACCAAACAGTGGTTAGAAATATAATAAAGCATGTTTGGATTTTCGGCTATAGTTTAGATAAATCAGAGCTTGATATTTTGAGCACTGCAAAGTAATGCAAATGACAGTTTACCATGTGAGGTTTTTTCGAGTCTCGTAACATTTTTACAGAGAGCTCTTAAGTTCCAATGACAAAACCACAGTCGCTCAATTGAGCCTCATCACGATACAATATAACTCCTGGAACTGTTCATGTGGTTGTCTCCCTGATTCATCTATTTAGTAGGCCTTTCACATCATCTATTTATGTATTACCTAAGTGTCATGGGCCTTGAAAATTAGCATGCCTTTGTGGTTTTTAGGATCTGTTATTTTTTTCATAATTTGCTTCCCCCCGCTCTTCAAAAAGCTTTGGGGGCGAGGTACATTTTCTCAAAAAGCTATATCTTGCCGATTATCGCCCCCTGAAAAAAAATCGTGCGGGCGCCCAGGCATACCCATAGTGTATAATGGCCCAGAAAGGCACAGTGCTGATGTAAGGACTAACAGGTGAATAACACTCACGATATTCATATTAACAAAAGAAAAGCTCCAAAAGAACAACCATTTCAAAACAAATATCATGAAAACCTGGAACCTGGAGTTGACGTCAAGGTATTCTTATCTCAGCAACACGGTTCATATCTTCTTCGACGTTGAAAAACCGTTTGTTGTTATCGTGTTTAGTTTCCAAAATGCCATTTAATACTTCTCGCTAATCTGCGCGGCGGCACATTTCATTAGAATTCCATACGGGTTTGAATATTAAAGTTGACTTAAAATTAACACAACTATCAGTATTCCTGTGTGCAATACTAAAACACATATTAGGTGCAAGATAGTCTTTTTTATTTTTCTCCTTCCCGGAGCAGTCTGACTAAAGTCCCCTATAGCACTGCAGCCTCTTGGGCTTATTCTACGTTGCTCCTCGAATTTACAGTAGTCCAGCAGTCTAGTGATTTATACCAGCCGGTACTGTTTTGATTTCTCGAAAAGCTGAAGTATTTTGTGATTCAGCGCCTCGCACTCACAATGGCTGATTCTGTTCCTTTTCCGCATTGCCTGCATCTAAGGTCTCCAGCATATAGCACTTTTTGCGCAGGTGCTCTTTCAGGTCATTATGTTCTGTTAGAAGGTCTGTAACTACACAGAGTTTCTACCCATTGAGAGCAATTCCATAGCTGTATTTACACATGGTCCAGGAGAGAAATTCTTTTCCATGCCTGCATCCAGACACTAAGTGGCACTATTTTTTGTGCTGGTTTCTTACCCGTTCTCTGACTTTGTTCCTTATTGTGCTTTTGACACCTTAAAGGCAGGTTCTGGGCCTGTAAATAGTGCAGTTCATTTCCTGCATTACCTGAATGCCCTGTACACCGCATCAAAGTTACCTTGTTGTGTTCAGTGTTAGATTCTTGTTGGCATTCCCGAATCAAAGCAGATGACACTGTAGGGATTCTTAACACTCTGAGTGACGCCTGACTGTCATTGTATATAGTATGCCCAGGATGAAACCTGTTATATATACCTGCACCTGTTTCCTGTTCATTTTTTGACCCGACTGTGCACCAGATTAATTTCCCCCTGCAGGCTGCGCCATTGGTGTTCCGTTCGATCTCCTATTTTGGTTTGTATTTGAATACAAATCTGGGAACTATGTAGTCTTTCCCGCGTCAAGTATGTAGCTTCTCACATGTTTCCTGATCTGATTGTGTCCATGGTCCGCATATCTTCCGTTTACAGATTGTATTAGTGGAAGGTCCAGCATGGTCTCAAGTGCTGCAGTTGAAGCGCTAATAGACAGGCAGGCCTGTCTTTGTACCTTGCCTAATTATGCACCTCACCAGAGATGCATAATTTATCATGGCTCTTACTGCCATTACCTACCTCCAGTGCATCGTAGAAGGGTTTAAGTCCCATGATTTGCCATGCGAGCGTCCAGACAACGTTAAAGTCGACTCCGCTCTTCTTGCAACATAACCTCACATTCCAAGGTATCATCATTGGTCGTTGCATTATGGGGGCAATAACGTCATTTTCCGTTTTATAATGATCAAAATTGCCCAACGTAGCTGATCATCCACGTTGATGTCCGGCGAATAATGCCATTGTCCAATTACAACCTTTACCCGTAATACATCTACTCTTAAGGTGCTGTTTCGTGTGAAGACAGCGTCAGGATTACCGAGACCGAGTACTCGGCTAAGTGGTATACAGAAAATGGCTCACTGTCACTATAAAATGCTCAAGTTCAAATTTAACCCCTTACTGCATGATTTTTTTGTTTTTCTTAAAATAAATATATGTGCTAGTTCATATTAGAAAAGTAACTAGAAAAATATATAAAAAAATTATAGATGCCTATTTTTTTAAAAAAATTGCATTTTTCGACATGTGCCAAATTTGACACAAATTGCAATAGTTGAATAATAACGGAAAAATTTACTGAAACCATATATGTTATAAATCGTTAAAAATACATGGGAAAACACCTGAACTAAATGTAATTTTGAATAAACATTTATTTACTCCAGATGAAAACGGTCTTTGTTCAAACATAATCTAACATTACATTTATCACACCAAACTTGTGTTTTCCCCTTACACTCAGGAAATTTGCATCTTTGGCGATCTTCATGCCACTCAGAAAGATGTCCCACATTGTCGCGACGAATTTCTTGGGCTGGTATTTCCGCAAAAGGATATTTCCTTTTTTTTAAATCCAGTTGAGGCTGTAGTGAGCTATTAGGTCTGCCTCGCTTTTTTGAAGTTACATGGGATCTTGTTAGAATTTCTGCTAAACCAAGTTTGAATTCAGCCAGTGGCAAATAGTCATCAGAATTGACCTCAGTGAGAGCTCTTCTCCACAATATCCAACTATTACAGCACAACATGTCGAGGAAATGGAAAAATATTCTTAAGTAAAATTTTTTTGACCTTATAAGTATCCTATGGTATCCTAACATCGAGTCAAGCAGATCAACACCTCCCATATAGTTGTATACTCTTTGGACGAGAAATCATAATGTGCTTTTTTTCCTTTCTGCAAAATCTCTGTACTTCGGAAATGTGCCGACTGCCTACGTAAGTTGATACTGTGGTAACTATTTTGTTATCATACCAGGAAACTACTGAAACATATACGCCATCGACTCGAGCAACTCTCTCCATAATTGTACCTCTACCTTTTTTCTTCATCACAGATTCCTTAGGAAATTCGCAATCTGGCACACGATTTTTGCGGACAGTACCAAGAGGCAAAATGCCCTCTTTGCTGAGATAAACCACTAACGGAAGGCCGGTGAACCAGTTATAAAAAAAAAACCTTGTAATTTTGATTCCTTGGAACTGACTCTGTAAGTTTCACTACCACATTACTACTTGCCCCAAGATCTGGTTGATAGGCTGCAACTTAGTTGGCCCAGAAAAGAAGTCGAAATCATAACTGAAGCCTGATACTCCGCTTAGTACGAAAACTTTTTAGCCCCATTTATGAGGTTTTTTTGGGTTATATTGCTTTAGGGTTGATCGAGCTTTTGTTGGTATAATTTGTTCGTCAACTGCAAGATGCTCTTTTTTTGGGACAAGTTGGTACCTCTCTCGTACTTTTTCTAAAAAAGGACGAATATTGAACAGCTTATCGTAACCAGGTTCATCGCGATTTTGTTGCTTCGTATTATCATTGAAGTGAACAAAACGTTTTATTTCTTCAAATATGTTACATTTCATAGCTTCGGTTATTGCAAGAGCTCTCAGTGTACTACTCCAATAGCTTCTAGTGGATGGCAGGTGCGCTACAGATATGTATATGTCTTCGTCAGATACCCTCAACTGTTAATCTTCCCAATCAAAACAAACCTTGTTTTTTTCTTTGCCTTGTTTGCTGCAATGAGAGTTGAAAGAGGAACATCGTCTTCACTATCGGAAAAATCACTTTCTTCAATCACAATATCTTCGACCATCTCTCTATCAAGCTGTTCTTCTTCACTGGTATCTTCCACCAGAACTTGAGAAAATGTTTTTCGGTAAAAATCATCATCTGACAAATTTTCATCTTCACTGCCACTCAAGTTCGGAATCCCAACACTTTTAGCACCATAAAATCGTTTTGCATCCATCTGAAAAAGGGGCAATAATATAGTCAGCTTTTCTTTTACTGCAAGTTGTTCCGATTATGGCACAAGAAAACAAATGACGATAAATCAACATGTGTATGAGTTGAAGGACATAATTTTACAAAATTCACAATAAGACATACTTACCAGAACGTAGATAATTTTAGTTGCACCAAAAATTTGATTTTTGAACGTTTTATGGCCGCAACAACTCTATAAGCGAATGTAGTAACACGTGCTTACGGGCCGCTAAACGAAATCTGACGTAATTCATAAAATACGTGCTAGAGGGCGACAATGTTTCTTGGCGATAGAGAAGCGAGCGTGCCAGATATGGAACAGTTTAGGTTAAGGTCTTTAGCTGTTGGAGGACTTGAAAAATAACATATATTTCACGTGTGCCAAATTTGGGACCGTATGCGGTAAGGGGTTAAAATAATATATGAAAAATCACATATGTTCTGTTCACACAAAATATCCTAGAGCTACATCTGTTTATCAGAACGATAATGTTAAGCCAATTACCAGCTCGACGAGATACCTCAAAAAAGTTCCATCAATAATTACTCCATTTCTAATTAAGGACAGAAACGCAGCAAATTACGCAACATAAGCAGATTGAGAATACCCGTTTTTTTTTCACTGTTATTTCAGCTTAGTCGGAAATG